CGGCGCGGTGGCAGCGGCGGCGGCGGACAGCGGCGGCGGCGGCAGCGGCGCGGCAGCGGCGGCGTGGGGCGGCGGAGGCGGCGGCGGCGGCGGCGGATGCGCCCCCAGTAGCTGCCCATCCAAAGACGACTGCTGCGTATGCTGCGGTTCGGGCCAGGCTCGGGTGCTACGCATGTGTTGGGAGGGTGCGTGTGGTGGTGTGGGACGTGAGCGAGACGGAGTGAGCGAGACGGCGGCTTGCTGGCGGGGAGGGCGTCTTGACCCCTCCCCCTACCCCCTCCCCCGGACCTGGACCGCGACGCGTTGGAGCGTCCACAACGGCCTCGGCGAGGATGCCAAAATCATTTGTTTTACTATGATTTTGGCCCCACGTTGGCCCCCTGGGGGGGGGAAGGGCTAATTGAGCCCCCCCCCTTCCTGTGATCGATCTCCTCCAAGATGGCCCCCAGAGGCGCCCAGGAGGCCCCAAGAGGCCCCGAGATGGCCCGGGGAGGGCGTCTTGACCCCTCCCCCTACCCCCTCCCCCGGACCTGGACCGCGACGCGTTGGAGCGTCCACAACGGCCTCGGCGAGGATGCCAAAATCATTTGTTTTACTATGATTTTGGCCCCACGTTGGCCCCCTGGGGGGGGGAAGGGCTAATTGAGCCCCCCCCCTTCCTGTGATCGATCTCCTCCAAGATGGCCCCCAGAGGCGCCCAGGAGGCCCCAAGAGGCCCCGAGATGGCCCCAAGATGGCCCCATGTGGCCCCAAGAAGCCCCCAAGAGGCCCCCAGGATGCCCCCAAGAGGCCACCAGGATGCCCCCAAGAGGCTCCCAAGAGGCCCCCACGAGGCGCCAAGAGACCCCCCAGGGGCACCCAAGACGCTCCAAGGGGCCTCGGCGAGAATACCAAAGTCACTGTTTGTACTAAGGTTTTGGCCACATTTGGGCCTCCTGGGGGGGGTACTGCTTCAGATGACTCCACGAGCGCCTGGGAGAGCCCAAGATGACCTCCAAGATGGCTCAAGATACCCCAAGATGCCTCAAGATCGTTCCCACGATGCTCCAAGAGGCCCCAAGACCGCTTCAAGACGGCTCCAAGTGGCCACAAAGCTCCCCCAGGAGGCCCCGAAGAGGCCAAAATCCCACTAAAACCTAAGGAATATTCATGTTTTGGGCTTTCTCGCCTTTTCGCTTCCGATGGCCATCCGAGGCTTCAAGATGACTCCAAGATGGCCAAAGAGGGCTCCAAGAGCGCGCCCAAGGCTCCCAAGAGCGCTTCAAGAGGGCCCCAAGAGGCGCCCAGGAGGCCCCATGAGACCCCAACAAGCGCCCCAGAGCCCTCCACGAGGCCCCCAAGAGACCCCCAAGAGGCCCGAAGAAGCTCTCCAGGGCACCCAAGACGCTCTAAGAGGCGCCCGGGACCGCCAACAGGCCCCCAAGACGCTCCAAGAGGCCTCCACTGGGGGACCATTCCTCTGTGTGCTGCCCACTTACCTGATCGCGAGCGCAAGCGGAAGAGCCGCGCGCCTTCAGGAAGATGCCGAGTAGCAAAGACCTGAATTACAACGACCTAAAGCGGGACCGAACGCAACTGCTGGCGGGGTTACGCGAAGCGTCTAGAATTCCATCATTGAAATTTGAATTACAGCGTGAGGGGTTCCCGTTCAAGACTTCATCGCCAATCATTCACAGACGAGGCTTACGCTGGAGACTTCCCCCAGAATAAGGCCTGAGGGGCCCCAGAGTGACGACAGTGATAGGATTTGGATGACCCCGCTCGGATTCAAACATTGCGGAGGGGGCCCCCTAGGGAGAGGCTCCCGTTCGATACCTCCTCGCTATCCACTCGCCGACGAGGCCCCCGCTGGAGACTTCCTCCATACTCAAGCCCGAGGCCCCCGAAAGTGACTACGGTTACAGGGTTTGGGTTGACCCGCCCGGATTCCAACATGAAGCTGGGCGCCCCATAGGGGGGGGGTCTCTCATTCGAGACTCCCTCGCTATTCGCTATTCACTCACTGACGAGGCTCCCGCTTGATTTCCTCCAGATTGAACCCGAAGAGCCCAAAAGTGACGACAATGGATAATGATGACCATGACGACGACGACTACGGTGACGATGGTGATGGTGCTGGTGATGTTGTTGATGACGATGGTGGGTACGATGACGGTGGAGATGATGATCATCATCATGAGCATCATCACCAGCATTACCATCAGTATGAGAATGATGATGGTCAGAACGATGTTGTTGTTGATGGTGGTGGTGATGATGATGACGCTGGTGATACTGATGGTGGTGATGGCGAAGGTGATGATGTTGGCAATGCTGACCATGATGATGTTGATGACGATAAAGGTGATGATGGTACTGCTGATGTTGCTGACTGATGGTGGTTATGATAATGGCGATGGTGCTGATGATGATGAGGGTGATGATGATGGTGATGATGCTGATGCTGCTGCTAATTCTGATGATGATGATGGCGAGGCTGAGGATGCAGCTGCTGCTGTTAGTGGTGATGTTGATGGTGGTGATTCTGATACCCGTCGTGATGGTGATGATGCTGATGATGATGCTGATGATGATGGTGATGATGATGCTGCTGATGCGAAGGGTGATGATACTGTTCCTGCGGATGATGATGGTGATGGTGGTGGCTGTGCTGCCGATGATGATGATGCTGATGGTGATGCTGATGGTGATGTGAATGATGATTGTGATGGTGATGATGATGATGACGGTGTTGATCATGATATTGGTGATGAAGATGTCTCTGCCGATTACCGTGATGATGAGGATAATGGTGATGATGATGATAACGGTGGTGGTGTTGCTGATGCTGATGCTGGTGATGGTGATGATGATGAAGATGTGAATGATGAGGAGTGGGGATGAGGATGATGACGATGATGACTATAGGGATGATGCGAATGATGAAGATGATAAGGAAGCTGCTGATGTTGCTGATGATGATTGTGGTGGTGGTGCCGATGATACTGGTGATGACGATGATGATGATGATGATGATAGTGACGATGAGTATGCTGATGCGAATGATGCTGATTATGATGATGGTGATGATGATGTTGGTGGTTTGGTGATGACGATGATGATGGTAACAGTGATGATGGTGGTGGTGGTGGTGGTAGTGATGAGAACGGCGATGATGAGTATGATGATGATGATGGTGTGACGATGATGATAATAATGAGGGTGACGATGATGTGGGTGTGTTCCTGTTCCTGTGTTCTTTGGCGAGGGGGATCCAAAGAGAACAAACCCCAGCTTCAAACAGAATCCGATATTCGGAGATCTGGGGAGTTCCTCCTCCCCCCATCACTCGTTCTCGCCTCGTTTCTGGCCCCTTCCACTTCGCAAACCAAAAAATAACCTGGCGAAGGACCCAACCATATGCAGTTGTGTCTACCGCAATTGTGAATACCATCTTTGCCCGCGCTCCCTATGTGGCCACAGCTTCCCGCCGGAACCCGACATGCTCAGGAACACGTTCGTGGCCGTCTTCGCGGGCACCGACGACGACACGGACGGCGTCCCTCTGACCGAGGAGCAAAAGCAGAAGAGAGCTTTGAGAGCCATGAGGGAGGAGGTGGCGTTGCACGTCGACACGGCGGAGTACGACGCCCAGGCGCGGCTGTTGAAGCAACACATCTATGGGGCCACGATCCTCGTGAGGGGTGTGCCGCAATGGCCCGGGGCCGCCATGAAACCTTGCCACTGGCGCCTTCGCTGGAGCTCCTATGGGGCCACGATCCTCGTGAGGGGTGTGCCGAAATGGCCCGAGGCCGCCATGCGAACGCTGCAACTGGGTCCTGCGGTGAAGCTCCCTATGGCCACGATCCTCGTGAGGGGTGTGCCGAAATGGCCCGAGGCCGCCGTGCGAACCCTGCCGCTACGACCCTCGTGAGGGGTGTGCCGAAATGGCCCGAGGCCGCCATGCGAACGCTGCCACTGGGGGCCTTCGGTGGAGCTCCCTATGGGGCCACGATCCTCGTGAGGGGTGTGCCGAAATGGCCAGAGGCCGCCATGCGAACGCTGCCACTGGGGGCCTTCGCTGGAGCTCCTATGGGGCCACGATCCTTGTGAGGGATGTGCCGAAATGGCCCGAGGCCGCCATGCGAACCCTGTCACTGGGGGCCTTCGGTGGAGCTCCCTATGGGGCCACGATCCTCGTGAGGGGTGTGCCGACATGGCCCGAGGCCGCCATGCGAACCCTGCCACTGGCGCCTTCGGTGGAGCTCCCTATGGGGCCACGATCCTCGTGAGGGGTGTGCCGAAATGGCCCGAGGCCGCCATGCGAACCCTGCCACTGGCGCCTTCGGTGGAGCTCCCTATGGGGCCACGATCCTCGTGAGGGGTGTGCCGAAATGGCCCGAGGCCGCCATGCGAACGCTGCCACTGGGCCTTCGGTGGAGCTCCCTATGGGGCCACGAAGCGCTGTACTGGGTGGGTGAAACGCAGGGAGGAGGGGGGAGGAGGGGGAGGAGGAGAGGAGAGGAGGAGGAGGAGGAGGCGGAGGAGGAACGCGGGGCGACGTCTCTTCAAAACGAGGACCCAACACCACAGGATGGTTGGGAACAATGTGGCACTCTCCTGGCAATGACGGGCGTGTCCGGGAAGGGGAGAGAGAGGGGAGGGAGGGGGGCCTGTCACGTCACGAATCGCGCGGGCGCCGTGCAGGAATGAGCAGGCGTGGCTGACTCGCAGGACGGCACTGGCGCGAATCGCGCCGTGACCAGCAGTGGGGGGGGTGAGGGGTAGGGGGGGGAGGGGGCCAGATATGGGCGACATCGCGACTAGTGAAAAACGGGCTCGAAATCGCAGGGCAGGGCTGCGAGGCTTCTTCCTCTTTCTCTTCCTCCTCCTCCTCCTCCTCCTCCTCCTCATCCTCCTCCTCTTGCTCTTCCTCCTCCTCCTCCTCCTCCTCCTCCTCCTCCTCCTCCTCCTCCTCCTCTTCCTTCTCCTCCTCCTCGCAGGCAAGGCTGCGAGGCTGCCTCTCAGACAGGGCGGCCATCAACCGCTCGTTCTCCATGAAGGGCTCCAGGGTCCCGCGCTTGCCTGCAGACGGCACAAGAGCGGCCGAGGAGAGCAGGACAGGCGCTGCAGAAGGGCCGTGGGCGAATTCGAAGGGTCCAGGGACACACAAACAAATACACACCAATCCCAGGATTCCCCAAACTTTCCATACGTTCTAAGTGATCGTCCTCCCTCCCACTTCCCATATGTTCCCATGTTTTCCTGGGGGTCGACGATTGATTGTCTGTGTGTGCTGTTTCTCCCTCCTCAGAACTACATGTCACACGATGGGGTCATTTGAAGGAGTCGGGTCCGCTGGGACACCCGAAAGCAGATAGAGAACAAATCAGGGCAGTGTGGAGGGATAGGTGGGAGGGGCAAGATGTCAGAAGGGCGCGCGCGAGCGCGCACCTAGCTTGACCGCATCCACTCCCCCCCCCCACCTCCTCCCGCCCCGTCCTGCCTCCCCCTCCGTCGCGGGGAAAAACAAAATCCGTAGCCGCGGCCTCGCGGGCCAGGCCCCATGCGCCGCGACCCCGCGGAGACGGGGCAGTTCTCCGCGGATGCCCCGCGCGGAACGCATCCACGAGATCGCGCATCCGCGGGATCGCGCCCCGGAAGCCAGACCCCGAGGGCGAGGATACGGATGCGTTCGCGGCTCGTGAACTGGAAAACGGTGGCGTTGAAGAGAGGAGCGGGACGCCGACAGCCGTCCCGGAGGACGGTCCCACAGGAGCACGGCGGTGGCGCCAGAGCGATGGAAGCACGTTGGCTCCACGATGCCAGAAAAACAAACGCGAAAATTGACATGCAGAAAACAGAGACGGGTGAAACTGGCACGAGTCAGAAATGCAGTCCGCCAAACGCGCTGCAGGACGGTGGGGCAAGCCAGACGAGCTCTAGGATGATGGGGCGTCGAAGAGAGAAGCCGCATGATGGAATCTTCATCTTGCGTCGCCCCTCCTCTCTCCTCTCTCCTGGAGGTCCCTCCCTTCCGCTTCACTCATGGAAAGGAACGGGAGGGAAGGAGCTGCCAAGATGGGAGAGATGTATTTGTGGGGCAGACGATGAAGCGACGAAGCAGGCAAACGTTTGCGATAGCACTGCGGCAACATACCCAGACCCCCGACGTTGTGATGTTGTTTCACAACGTCGACCCCCAGAGGTTTTGGAACGGTTTTTCATCCCGAGTCGTTTTGTTGACGGTCCCGAGGCCAGGCCGAAAAGAGCGAACAACCTCCCGTCGTGATTTTTGTTCACACAGCGAGGGGGTCTGGGTAAGAGGGGTGGGCCCTATTTCAGACGGCTGCTGCGTCAGGTCAACCGCGGATGATTCGGGGCCACAGGTTCTACAAGCGATTCCGCTCGCCGTCTCCAGGGGTCCCCTCGCCTTGAACGCCTCACACCAGCCAAGAGTAACAAAGGCCCTGGTCCTTTCTAACATGCTCTCTCTGCCGGGATATGGAGTATGAACGCGCGCACTGCTGGTAGAAAACCAAGACCAATACAATATTCCTGGAAACGAGCGGTAAATATAGACACCGATAGATCTACCAAACCAAAGCACAGCAAACGAGCACGCGAATAGACAGGGAGGCAATGACAGACGCTCCTACGTTTTCATGGACCTATTGGCAAGACATGCGGAGACAGGCAGGCATACACGCCGACAATCGCACGGACAATCACACAGACAGACAAGCAACACGCACGCACGCGCGCACACGCACACACGTATATGAAATGTGCATGGGGATAGGCCAACAACGTGACCGAAGTAGTCTAGAAGGCTCCGAGGCGGCGGTGGTTGGTACGGGACGATGGTAAACAACGCGTTTGTTCAAAGAACGAGTCTGCGACAAAACGGAATATGATGCCCCTCTGGCCTAGCGAGGCCACGAGATCAGCGGCTGTCTCGGCCGCGTGATCCACCGGAAGCAGCATGTCCGAGGCGGTGGAGTTCTGCCACCACGCCTCACCTTCACACGGGGGCAGCGACAACAGCCGGGGCCAGAACGGGCAGCCATAAGAACGGGCCCTGAGCGCATCCAACGGCCTTGCTGAAGAGGTCGGCAAAGGAGAACGAGGAGGACAAAGAGGCTGTGGGAGGTAGGAGATGATGCGACGCGCGGTTTTGCAATATGCGTGCTTGAATGTTCCACACAGGTGGGAGGAGAAGGGGGACAGGGAGGCAGGAAAGAGACGAAAAGGCGGGGACTGGTGCTTCCCTCATGCTACTCCTCCCCCTCCTCCTCCTCCTCCTCATCCTCCTCTCTTCCTCCTCCTTCAACCTCCGCCTCCCCGCACAGTGCTGACCCCTTCGCGCTGGCGCCGGGCACACTCCCACTCAGTCCGCGCCTCGGGGAAACCGGGCCCACGCAGCCTGGCGACACGGGGGGCGTCAAAAAACCGGCAGGCCCTCCAAAGAGCTCCGATGCACCTCGGCCTCGGCCGAGCCTGGGGCCCCTGCCGCTTCGCCGCGAGGACCCCCCCCACACCCGAGAGCAAGGAACCCCAGACAGCGTCGAACGCCTCTGAAAGGCCCGACGGCTGAACCGAGCGCGGGAGAAGGAGGGGGGAGGGAGGGAGGAGGAGGGAGAGCAGGGAGGAGGAGGGAGGAGAGGGGAGGAGGTTCCTTGTCCCAGCGCGGGCGCGAACACCAACAAGTTCATCTGTCAATCCTGTACATAGAGAGGAGGAGGCGGAGGCGGGGGAGGAGGAGAAGGCGGAGGAAGAGGAGGAGGAGGAGGAGGAGAACCAGAGGAAGCCAGAGAAGCATCAGTGATGCTGCAAAATACATACACATGTCCCCAGTCCCCTCCTCGCAAGTCCCTGCACATTTTTCATTTTCACCACGAAAGGCGCCCCACTGAAGGCCAGCACATTTGGGCTTACCAGTTTGACGAGGTTGACAGGGAATTATCTTGGATCTTTCTGGCACGTAACATGGAAAAGGCGAAAAAGCATGGCCATACTGCTCAACGACATTCAAGCGAGATTCCCCTTTCCGAAGGAAGACCGCCCCCCATCCGTGTAACTGCTGGACAAGTTTACACTTGTGGTCATGAACTTCGGATAGGGTCAAGCGACAACTCCAATGTGAAAAAGAGTCGCCATGGATCCGCGCAACGCTACATGTATTTAAGGTTCGGGTCGTTAAAGTAAACGGAGTGCCCCCAGCGAGAACCACGCCTCGAAAGAGAGCAGTCTTACATACTTCGAACATCGCATCTAAAAACTAATGCGCACCGCGCTGAGGCGAGAGCCCCGTCCTAAAAACGACCCATGAACAATACTCGAAACGGTTGCAAGAAAATTGTCGGCGGCGAGCAAGGGGGGAAGTGAGAAGGAGAAGGCCTTCTCAGATGTTTCGAAAGTCCCCCAGCCTTCTGAGAAGTGTCCTAAGCCTTCCCCGAAGACAAGAAAAACTTCTCAGAAGGCGCAAGGGCTTCTGAGAAGTCCCGCCGCCTTCTGAAAAGGCATTCTCCTTCTCATTTCCCCCCCTCGCTCGCTGCCGAATTTGGACACTGCGCACGGCTCTGAGCGACCGAGCCGCCCTGAAAAACCACCGCCGTCCATCCGTGAAGCGACTCAATGCAGGCGGCGCTCCAGCGAGAGCCACTGTTTAAAAGCGAGCCCCTCTCCATACTTGAAACTACAGTCAACCCGTATGATGTGGATGCGCGGTAAGGATGCAAGGGCCTTGGAGGCCCATGTTAACGTTTGTCGAACGAGGCTGGCCAGCGAAAGTCGCTGAGGATGGGCCGAAGGGGCAAGGAAGCAGGGGTAGCCTTGGGAAGATTGCCCATCCTCACTATGCGGGTTGACTGCATTGCAGAATTCTAGCTTCAGGATCATGACTCGCCATCGCTCGGACGTCCACTCCCGTGCAATAGTTCGATGTCGCGCGCGTATGTCTCGCAAGATGACCCAGGATGTTCCTCAGTGCCCTCGCCCCCCCCCCCCCAAAAAAAAACGCACACGTCCGAGCGATGCCAAGAGCAGGGGTGAAGAAATCTCATGCGAAACGCCTTGCCCGCCCTACCGACTCGTCTGGGGGTGGCACAGGGATTGAGCAGGGACCGACCGTCCATGCATTCCTGTAGACCTACCAAGAAATCTCCTTAGAACCCAGACATGTTCTAAGAACAAAAGGTTCTTTGCACATTGCTCGGAAGGCCTCTCGGCACGCCAGAACGCCTCGCCACTGCTTGAGTGGAGGAGCTACGGCCGGGAACTTTCGCTTCGCGCGTCGCCGCGGCGGCCCCGGCGACACGTCAACCCCTGAGAGCGGGCAGCGTGTCGCTCCACTCCGTGGGCCGGGAGCCTCGGCAAGGCTCGGGACTTACCAGCCTCGAACTGATCCCTATCCCCAAGATTGACACGCCAAAACGCGAGGACAATCTTAGGGATGCGCCCTCAAAAACTAAGGGAATCCCTAAGATTGGCATCGTGCTGAGGAGATGCCCAGCAGAGGGATCGGATACGGCAGGTTGGTGTCGTGCCGACCCCAGCGTTGGTTTTTGACACCGCAGGGATCGTTCAACCTTGAACGATCGGCCATTTCCGCAACGTCCAATCGTTCAACATCGATCGATTCTGGGTCGCCGGCGGCGTTCAACCTTGAACGCCCGCGCTGGGGTCGCCGCTGGTCGACACGACGCAAACCTACCGTAGGGATATGTTCCAGGCTGGTAAGGGACGTGGTCGCCCTGGGACCACGAAGTGGACATAGCGTGTCGCGCCGCAGGGCGGCGGGCCAGAACCGGCGGACCGGCACGCCAACCAAAAGTTCCCGACCGCAAGGGGGAGGAGGAGGAGGAGAGGAGGAGGAGGAGGAGGAGGAGGAGGAGGAGAGGAGGAGGACGAGGAGGAGGAGGAGGAGGAGGAGAAGGAGGAGGAGAAGGACTGGGGAGGAGGGCGGGAGGACCGTCGGCACCGGGCGCCGCCGAGCCAGAGCCGGGCGCAGGCGTCGCAACGGAGGTGTCTTCACGAGCGGCGAACGTACCGTCGACCTCGGCGATGGTTCCTGACACCGCGATTCGTGTCGTGTCGACCCCGGAGTCTACCAAAGGGTCTCAACGTGGGTTGACCTCGGCGTCAACCTGCCCTGGCGGGTCAACGCCGATCAACGCGGGTCAACCGTGGCGTGTCGACCCCGGCGTCAACTGGCGTCAAAGCAATCCGTCAAGCCGGGTGTCTCAACGCGGGTTCGTGTCGTGTCGACCCCGTCGTTGGTTCCTGGCACCACGGGGATCGTTCAAGCTTGAACGGCCAGCCAATTCCGAAACGTCAGATCGTTCAACATCGACCGATGTTGGGCCGCCGCCGGCGTTCAACATTGAACACTGTCGGCGGGGTCACCGCCGGTCGACACGACGCGAACCTACCGTATCCATGTCCACGCCCTCGCGGTCTGGATTCTGGAGAGCGATCCCGCGGACACGTGGTCGCATGGATAGGCTCCACGCGGGGCGTCCGCGGCAAAAACGCCCTGTGTCCAAAGGGTCTCGGCCCAGGGACCACGGCCGCGAGGTCATGGATACGCAGGTGCTTTCCGCCCACGGCTTCGGGTGATGAGCGGACCGAATCAGCGGACTAGCAGATCTGGGCGTCGCGAAAAAAGCATGACGGATTCTGGGCCTCCAAAATCCTCTTCCTGGCCCTGGGGCCGTCGACAAAGGGGACTCGGAATGAACACCCAGAACTCTGCATGGGGGCGAGATCCCTGGAGGGGCCATGCGAAAAAAAATGTGGGCCGTCGGAAGGGAGGGGATGGACGGACTGGATCGGCGCATCGACCCAGAGCAGACTGAACGGGCAGCAAAGGTCAGAACAGTGCGCGACTACGCCTCGGCAGACCTGGTAGCATGGCCGACCGTGCTTACACGACACAGGAGTGAGGAGGGATGATGATGGTGATGGTGATGACGATGGTGATGATGCTGATGATGATGATGATGCTGATGATGATGATCATGATGCTGTTGATGGTGATGATGCTGATGGTGATGATGCTGGTGTTGAAGCTGATGATGATGGTGCAGACGATGATGCTCATGTTGATGCGGATGCTGATGCTGATGATGATGTTCATGTTGTTGATGATACTGATGATGATGATGATGATGGTGGTGATGGTGTTGATGAAGATGGTGATGATGATGAGGATGATGATGATGATGATGATACTGAGGATGATGATGATGCTGAAGATGATGATGATGGTGATGATAATTAGGATTGTGATGAAGATGACGATGGTGACAATGATGATGATGATGATGATGATGGTGATGATGTTGTTGATGATGATGATGATGATGATGATGATGATGATGATGATGATGATGATGATGATGATGATGAAGCACCCCCCAAGGCTGAGCAGCCTGAAGCCACGTGCCAACAGAGGAAGAATCAGACCTTCTCGGATTTGTCTGTGCACCCGAAAGAAAGGAGAACTTCGTGAGCCAATCTGCGGTGGACCGCAGGACCTCTCGAGCCTTCGGGGCTAAAGGGGGAAAAGGGAGGAGAAGGAGGAGGAGGAAGAAGAAAACGAGGGGGAAGGCTGATCGCGGCCGACGCGGAGAGCGAAAGCCGACCGAACCGATAGCGAAACCGAAACCGATGGCAACATAAAAGCCAGGTACAGTCAACCCGTATGGTAAGGATGCGCGACAAGGGTGCAAGGGCCTTGGACGCCCATTTTGAAGCTTTTCGAGCGGGGCGCGACCAGCGAAAGTGGCGAAGGATGGACCGGGGAGGCAAGGATGCAAGGGCACACTTGGGAAGGTTGCTCATCCTTACTGTGCGGGTTGACTGTACATAACTGAATCAAGCGGCCAAAAATGGGACGAAGCCAGGACGAGGACAAAATCGGGTGAGAATAAAGCTACATTCTCTGAGATCCGGCAGCTCTGGAGGATGTATCAGGCGCCGCGGTCTTCTCAGAGCGTTCCAGAACGCTCTGAGAGCG